TCTTCCGCCCTTTGATCTAGCGGGGGATGCTCTTCAAGATTTGGATACTTGCCGACCGAGACTGAAAAGTTCGTTTGTGCCTTTGGAACTCGAAGGGATGCCGGTCGATCGAATCGGGTCAATCGTTCTTCAGAAACTCATGGAGGTTGCACCACTTCGCAGCAAGTCCTTTGGTAGGGGAAAGGCCGCCTTCTTTCCTTTGCCTACTTCCATGGGGGTGTTGAGGGACTTTTGGCCGGACATTCAGGAGCTGACGTTGAATTGGGTTGTGTGTGTTACGGTTGGTTTGAATTCATTTTGGGGCGAACAAGTGCTGTCAGAGGAGGTTGTTGCACCGGTTCAGCACGGGTGCTTGCACAGGATACGGCAGGAGGTTGAAAGGATCTGCAAGCTCAAAGTTCAATCTGTAGGGGTTGACTGGCAGGCTTTCTTCTCAATCAAGGGCATCGACTACAAAGGGGACGAGGTCAAGGTGGCTCGGTGGATTCGTTGGGAGAATGTGTCACCTGCTTTGCCCAAAGAGATAGGTCGTGTCCCACTTCATGAAGTTTGCACCCAGGGTTGCCGAGAGTATGTTCTGACCTTTGATTCCTTTTTGAAGCCGCGGGAGAAGTGGGGAAGCACAAAGGGACCTCGGGTCATGGTGGAGGACGGAGCTTGGGGGGAGCTCTGCTCTGGTTTGGTTTCCGCGGGGGTGTGTTGTTTCCTCGAAGAGGGACAGGTGTTTGACACGGGAAGCGGACCGCTCCTGAACGGACTGTTTGGAGTATCCAAGGAGGATTGGACCCCAGACGGGACGGAGATCTGTCGCCTGATTATGAATTTAGTGCCACTCAATAACATCTGTCAACCACTCGGAGGGGACATTGACACTTTACCGTCTTGGAGCATGATGTCACCTTTTTTCCTTCAGCCCAATGAGAACCTCCTGATTTCCTCCGAAGATGTGAAGTGTTTCTTTTATACGATGGCTGTGCCTGACTGCTGGGTCAAGTTCCTGGCATTCAACAAGCTGGTCCCTGATGACTGCCTTCCCTCTGACCTCAAAGGGCGCAACGTCTACTTGGCCTCCGGGTGTTGCCTATGGGTTTTCTCAACTCGGTGAGCCTCGCTCAGAACGTCCATAGGAACCTTGTCAAGTGGTCTTCACGGGGCTCTCCCCTTGTCAATACTGCGGGGTCGGAACTGCGAAAGGATAAGCCCTTTACTGTCGCTAATCCCTCGTGGAGGGTCTACCTCGACAACTATGACTTGCTGGAGAAGGTGGAGGCCACCGGCATGGTTGAGCTTGAGGGCACGGTGCCGGAGGGTGTACTGGCACTACGTCAGGAGTACGGGGTATGGCAGGTGCCACGGAATGAGAAGAAGGCCGTCGAGCGCTCAGCGTGTGCAGAGCTACAAGGCGCTACCGTTGATGGAGTGCGAGGAATCGCCTTCCCCAAGGAGGCCAAGATCAGCAAGTACCTAAGCCTTGCGCTCACCTTGTGTGGACAGCAGCTGGTGTCGCAGCGACAAGTCCAGGTCGTTTGTGGCGGCCTGGTCTACTTTTCAATGTTCAGGCGCCCTACGCTAGGCTCTCTCAATGCAGTCTGGAAGTTCATTGAATCCTTCAAGCCAGGTGGAGGACAGTGGCGTCCATTGCCCGTTGACTGTCGTCTGGAGATCCTGAGGTTCATTAGCTTCCTGCCCTTGATCCGTATGGACTTCAGGTTGCAGATGCATCCCATGGTAACCTGCAGTGATGCGTCCTCAACAGGAGGTGGAGTGTGCCGATCTGATGGGCTCACACCGCTCGGGTGTCTGGCGGCGCAAGGTGAGTTGCGGGGGCAGAAGCCTTTGCCTCTGGTAGAACACAGCGTGTTGGTCATTGGGTTGTTCGATGGCATCGGTGCCATTAGGGTCGCAATGGATTTGCAGGACGCCGAGGTGCTTGGGTATATCTCCGTTGAAAAGAACCCGCAGGCTAGGCGTGTGGTGGAGGCACACTACCCCGGGGTTGTCCATGTCGAGGACGTGTCGCACATCACAGAGGACTTAGTTCGGGAGTGGAGTCTGCGTTTTTCCCAGTGCAGCATTGTCGTGCTAGGTGCGGGACCCCCGTGTCAGGGAGTCTCTGGACTCAACGTCGACCGGAAGGGCGCGCTCCGCGATGAGAGGTCCTCCTTGTTCACCCATGTCTCCAGAGTGCGAGAGCTTCTTCGCCAGTTCTTCTCTTGGGCGCAGGTCCATTCCTTGATGGAATCAGTTAGTTCAATGGATGCCACGGATCGGCGTATTATGTCACAGGACTTTGGCTCCGACCCGGTTCACATCGACGCCGGTGAGATGACTTGGTGCCACAGACCACGGTTGTATTGGACTACTTGGGACTTGAGTGAAGGCAACGGGGTTACACGCGACCCCGCAGGAGAAGTCACAGTCTGGCATCTCGAGGCACAGCAGCCGGTCGAAGAGGTCTTGGAGCCGGGTTGGACTGAGGTGGAGATCAGCAAGGCCTTCCCCACCTTTACAACTGCAAGGCCATCAGTGCATCCCGGGCGCAAGCCCGCAGGGATCGCTCAGTGCTCCGAGGAGGAGCTCGATCGGTGGCATTTGGACCTTCATCGTTTCCCACCATACCAATACCAGCAGGTCCACTCCGTCGTGAACAAGCGAGGTCAGGTGCGAATTCCTACGGTGGCTGAGAGAGAAGTGATGCTTGGCTTTCCACTCCACTTCACGGTCCCTTGTTGCAGCAAGTCTGATCGTAAGGGTGCTCACCATCAGGACACACGTCTCACCCTTCTTGGGAATACATGGAGCGTGCCGGTCGTAGCCTGGTTGCTTAACCAACTGTTGTCCAAGCTTGGTATCTCGCCTGAAATGAGTCCTCAAGACATTGTGTCGAAGTGTCGAACTGATGGCAGCACCGCGCTCCAGGGACGGCTAGTTCGCATGCCGATTCGGAGCGTTCCCACAGCCCCTGGCTGTGAGAAGCAGCTGGCATTTAAGTTGGGTAACTTGATCAGCCTCAAGGGTGAAGACATCCTCATCTCAACTCCGAGCACTCAGTTGGTCAAGTTCCACCGGTTGAGAGCATCAGTTCCCTCACGCTTGTGGCGATGGCGCATTGTCTCAGGTTGGAGGTGGACCAGAGGCCGAGAGCACATCAACTCCTTAGAGCTCAGGGCAATCCTCAATGCTGTTCGTTGGAGAGTCGAGCGTCAGGGCCACCAGGGCGTGCGCATGCTGCATTTGATTGATTCCCTCGTTTGCCTCCACGCCCTCACGCGAGGAAGGACCAGCTCTAAGAAACTTCGGAGCACCATGTCGCGGATCAACTCATTACTGCTTTGTTCTAACTCTCAGGTTCTGTGGGGTTACGTGCACACAGACAGCAACCCTGCCGACAAGCCGAGTCGGTGGGGAACTCGCGTACGCACCAAGCAGAAGCATGCCTAAGCGAGTGTTAGAGGGTGGAACTCAGCAGGATAGAGCAAAGATCCGTAGACAGTTGGGAACGCTTCGACAGTTGACAGTGCAGCCGGCCACTCGCAAGCGCTATGACAAGGCGGTTGATCACTTCCTTACCTTTCTACGACGGGAAGGCCTGGAATTACCCACTAACAAGGTGAAGCTTGACCCATTAGTGTGTGACTACCTGGAGCACCTCTGGGCCACCGGGCAAGGTCGTGGGCTCGCCTGTGACACCTTGGCAGGACTACAGGACCTTCAACCCGGACTTCGTAGCCACATGCCGGCAGCCTGGAGGCTCCTGCATGAAGACGTGGCAAACCAATGAGATCCCCATCCGGGCTCCGCCCCTACCGGAGCATCTGGTCCATGCCATGGCAGGGTGGGCAATCTTTAATGGTTGGATCTCCTTTGCAGTCTCTCTGCTATTGGGTTTCTACACCATGTTGCGGACAGGGGAAATCCTGGGCATTGTGTCGAGCCATGTTGAAGTGGGCACCGGAACTGGAAAGGCTTTGGTGAATTTGGGGTTTACCAAGGGTGGCAAACGCCATGGGGCTGCAGAGAGTGTAGTCCTCGGCTACGAGCCTGTAGTCAAAGTTTTAAAGGCGTGGAAACAAGCCGGTTCCCCCCGATACCCGGCTTACGCCTTCTCCACCCAAGTGGCGAGCGTTGTTCAATTCATGCCTTGAAGGCCTCCATATACAGGACCAGGGGTTTCGACCCTACTCCCTCCGACGAGGGGGGGCCACGTTTTGGTTCCAAAAGCACCAAAACTTAGACCGGATACTTGTTCAAGGTAGGTGGCACACGCAGAAGAGTGCCCGTATATACCTCAATGAAGGTTTAGCTGTCCTCAGTCAACTCAAGCTTCCAGCTTCTGATGCACGAATCCGTCCCTTTTTAACTGTGTGTAATAGTTTTTTCCGTCAGCCTCGAATCACATCACTTGAGCCTCCTGCCAAAGGCGGAAGGGCAGGGGGGCTTGGAAGGCACCCCAAGAGATCCAGTAAAGGCAAGGGAAAAAGCGCTTTTCGTTTCGTCCT